CGAAATATTTGCTCTAGATCTCTGAAATATACCATTGGTATTTTAATAGGGATTGTGTTGAATCTATAGATTGCTTTTGGTAGTATGGACATCTTAATGATGTCAATTCTTCCAATCCATGAACACAGCATATGCTCCCATTTATTTTTATCTTCCTTTATTTCTTTCTTCAGTGTTCTGTAATCTCCTTGATCTCCTGAACCTGACGTTATACGGGTGTCCTTTATGCCATTTATGTGGGTTCTCTGGTTGTAATTGGGTTTGGTTGTTGATGGGTCATTCTTTGGTTGTCCTCCCCTCCAGCTGGCTGACTCAGAGTCACAGCACCCACCACATCTTGTATGCTGTTGTATAGGTGCTGTGAGAACAGAACCAAACAACTCGGGAAACAAACCCACACCTGCATAAATAACCCCTACCTGGAACTACACTCTAAACTCAATAAATGAGCAAATGTTAATAAAGATGTAAAGAAATTACGACAATTATAAGAAAGGAAAATGAATATGAGATGACTAACTGAAAGAGAAATGATTTTGAGAGGGTAGAGGGAGGAGAAATAATAATAAGGAATAGAAACAAAGTGATAAAAGAAAGAAAATAAAATTTACATTCTAAATAATAAAGGGAGGGAAGAAGGCAGAATGGAGTAAGAGAAGGGAAGCATAGAGTATTAGCGTTAATCAAAAACTTTAAAAAAGTTCGTGAAAAAAATAGGAACCAAGTTGGAGAAAAAGATCCATCACAGCAATATCAAACAATAAATGAGCAAAGATTAATACAGGTATAATGGGAACAAGAAGGAAAAAAGAAAGAAAAGCTTATGAGATGTTTAGGGGAAAGAAAAGTGATTTTTGAGAGGCTAGAGGGACAAAGAATACTAAGAGTAAGGAATGAAAACCAAGCTAAGAGAGGGAAAAATTAAAATTTAAAAGAACAACAACAAAAAAGAGGGCAGGAGGAAAGGAGACTGGTAAAATTTGAGATTTGCAATACAAAATTAGTGAAGATCTAGAAATAAAATTGTAGAAATGCAACAACCACCACCATGCAAAGACTGATAAAGGTGGAGAGAAAATAAGCATATTGTAAGGATGGGAAAAAGAATGTGAGATGACTAATGACAAGAAAAATAGTATGGAGAGGCTGTAGGGAGGAGAAATAGAACAGAAGAGAAACAAGTCGTAGCAAGAGAAAAATAAAATTTAAAATAAAAATAAGAAGAGGAAGGAAGAGGGTAAAGTGGAGTAGGAAAGGAGCAAAATATGAAATTTGAAATAAACTAAAATATAAAATCTAGTGACATAATAGGCACAAACTTGAAGGAAAAGTATTGAATGTTAAAAAGCTATGCAGGAGAGAAAATAATGCAAACCATGAAGAAGACTGCGGTGGAATTCGTTTCAGTAGAATCCAGTGTTTGCCACTGTCTTCTCTTTCTAGATTCACACCTGGTAATGTTAGATGGTGCCCTAGCCTGGCGGTAGGCAGCCTGTTCAAGACCACAAGCGATCCACAGTCTGTGGCTGTCTCCTTCAGATTTGGCAGGTCCCCACCGTTCTACCCTGCAAGCTTCCCATCAGCCCAGGGTCCAGGAGTGGTTCATTTAACGACCCAAGGGGACTGCCAGTACCTTCTCCTGCCTCCAGAGGGGGCTTCTGGGGCAGTTGGGAGGGTGGGAACCCTGGGTCACCGCCAGGGGGTACTGTTCAGTCTTCCAGTGTTTCCCTGTCCCCTGCCCATACATCTTGGTCTGTCTCAGATTCTTTCCAATAGTGTATGGTTGCTGATGAATTAGCTATCTGTTTCCTGTGAGGGGCCAGTATGTTTAAAAAGGGCAGCTCTTTCCAGCTTGGCTCGGATGGCAGCTCTAAGCGCCAAGACTGGGCCAGGCCCTGAACCCCTCTTGCTGCACCTGTCTCTGTCTCTCTGCTGTGCTGATTTTAGTGGATCAGAGCGCGAGGAATAGTGTAGCACATAGTATCTGGTAAAGGGCCCTTTCTGAGCTCTTTCTTCTTCCCCCTGTGAAAATGTGCCCAGCAGGGCACTCTTGAGCCTGGCCTCACTGATCTGCAGAGTATTTCAGCAGGTGTGGGCTGGGCTCGCCTGTCCATGCGGGGATCTGCCTGGCTGCAGCAAATCTCAGGCATTCAGCTCCTGGCTGTCCAGTCCCCAGACTGCTGCTCTCCCGCAGGAGGCTCGCGGTGACCTCTTCATTCCGTACAGTCCTCTGCTCACTAGCTGTGCTGGGTTGGGCCCCCCAGTCCCTTCAGCGTGACTCTATCCCTCTTAAGCTCTTCGTTAGCAGAGCTGCTGCGCATGCGTGCACGTGCACGTGAACACCAGGTCCCAGTCAAGTCTCGAGTCTTGCTTCCGCCCCTTGAGGTTTTGTGTGGTCCCCATGCTGCAGCACCACGCCCTGTGGAGCCTGTTCTCCACGCACTCCACCTCCCCAAGAATCACAGAGTCCCTCTGTCAGGGCTGGCCGCCACCTGCCAGAGCCTCCAACAGTTTTAGATAAAGTTTCTCTCTGGATATCTCCCAGATGGCGCTGGGAAGAGTGCCGCAGTGGTAGTATCACATGGGCCAGTGAGAGGTGCTCTCCCCAGTCCCTCCAGAGATCCTCAGCCTTGAGCAGGCCTGCTCCCACCCCACTGTTTCTGCAGCCAGCACCTCTCCGCCCCACCCCCACCGTCATCTCTCCCTGCCCCCAGAGCCCCCAGCTCCTGACCATCTGCAGCCAGAAGTGCCAGGTTGGTCAGCGGGGTGGCAGTTGCTGCGCTAGGAGAGCCCAGCCACTCACTCCTGAGTGTCCTGCAGGCAGGCAGGCTCTTACCCACTCTCGCACACTCCCCGGATTCTCATCCACGTACGCACTCACTCACACATGGTCTGGCTCTCCACTGGAATTCTAAGTTGATTGCTCTGTGGTTTAGCTGCAAGATCAGTCCTGGTTGGGGAGCAAGTGGACAGAGCTTCCAGCTTCCCTGCAGCCATCTCGGATCCCCCTAGAACCACAGTTTCTATAAGAAGACATAGGAAGGATCTTCATAACCTTAGAATAGGTAAAGATTTATTAGAGAGGACACACTAAAATATTTACCCTAAAAAGACATAAATTAGGTTTTATCAAAACTAAAACATTCATTATGAAAATGAGTAGGTAAGTCACAGGCTGGGAAAAGCATTCTTAACACATATATCTGACAAGGACTCATATCCAGAACATATAAAAAACTCTTATAAAAATCAACAATAAAAAACCCCATTGACCTAATTTTACAAATGAGCAAAAGACTTGAATAGACACTTTATAAATGATGCTTAAACATCATTAGTCATCAGATAAAAGAAAATTAAAACCATGATGGAACACCATTTCACATCCAAAAAGACTAATAATATCATATGTTGGAGAGAGGGTGTGGGGAACTAGAACTTTCATATGTTGCTGGTGAGAATATAAAATGGTAAAACCACTTTAGAAAATTGTTTAGCAACTGACATTCCTTCATTTAATGAACCAGCAGTTCCACTACTGGGTATTCAAGAGAAATAAAAATATACACCCACAAAAAGACTTATACAAGAATATTTATATTCCTCTTTCATAATATTCTCAAAATGAAAACAACCCAAATAAATACCAATAGGAGAATGGATAAACACTATTAATGTATTTATATAATGGAAGGCTATGTAGGAATAAGAATAAACTATTGATATACATAACAATGTGAATATTTTTCAAAAAATACTGTTGAGCAAAAGCAGCCAGACACAAAAGACTACACACTAAATGATTTGATTTATTTGAAGGACAAAAATAAGCCAAACAAATATAGGGTGATAGAAATCAGAGAGTGGTTGCCATTGGGGTGAAGGATATTTGAACTGAGAGGAACATGAGACAAGTTTCTAGGCTGATGTAAGTATTCTACATCTTATATCTGCTGGTGGTTGCATGGGTGCATACGGCTGTCAAAAACTCTCAACCTGAAGACTCAAAATGTGTTATTTTCTTGTCTGTAAATTATACCCTAATTTAAAAGAAAAAAAAAAAGAAGAAAGCCCAGGATAAAAGAGCATAGTGTGTTTATAAGGTGCAAAGTACTAAAATACTCAGGGCTGCTGATTAATTCTTTTCTCAAATTTTTTCCTAGAAAACAAGAGTTCAATGCACCCCCCTCCATAAATTACTTGTGTATTTTAGCCCACAGTGATGAAAGAGTTATTTATTAAAGTCCTTTCTCCTCATGGTATGTCATACAGGGTTGAAATCATCAAAATTGATTACATAAATCTTATCTCAAATGGAATAATCTCGGACATGTAAACATTAATTAGCAGACCATGAGAGAGGACATGCCGTCTGTCTTTAAAAATTTTGGCTGGTGGAATAGTAGAGATAACTATTCAAATAAGCTCATATATTCTGTACTCCTCCCATCTCTGATTTATACTCAATAAGTTGTAAGCCCCCCAAATATGATTGATATTTGAAAAACAAATCCTGTGACCACACATTATATTATGATATAAAGAACTTAACTAATTCATTAACTTATAATTTCTCATTAACTAATTCTTAACTAATAATTTCTCTTCTGGATAATTTCCCCCTACAGGCAACACATTGTGTCTTTGTAATTCCTCTTTGTACCTTATAAGAATTTGGGCCAGGGTCTTGAAAATAATAAATAATTATTTAACTAATGTATTTACTGATTAGTTAGAATTTATGTCCAAATTAGATGGGCCCATAATGGGAAATATATTGCAATTATTTATAATGTCTTCATATAAAATGTCTGAACCACAGATGGTCTCATTAGGCAATTTATGGGAACTATATTTAAATGGAGTATGTAAAATGATACACAAATCCAGCTCACTTCAGCTTAAAAGTTAAACCATACACTTATTACCTGACTAGATTTTTTAAAAATTATAGAAACAGTACAATTGTTAGAAATACAAAAACAAACAAACAACCCCAGTGAGTCTAGGTTTGGTCTCCACTTGAATATCTCAATGATTAAAAAGGCTGCAAGTACATTGTTTTGAATTGAACACCACGTTGGCCAGATCAGAAAAGCTGTGAACTGAGAAGGAAATTGTTATTCCAGTGATGGAACCTCAACTAGAGAGTATCATTCTGCTGGCAGCTGAGATGTCAGGGGATTCTCACTATGAAAACCAGTGGTCTTTTAATCACACGTTATAAAAGCATTTGCAATGCTTTGCAGGCAGCTTTTCTTCAAAGATCTTCCTGCTGCTTTCCTTCCTGAGCACAATGGGTTCAAGATGGCTAATGTTGTTTCCTAGTTATGCCAAGAACCTCCTGAATGCCACTGGCCTTTCATCATGAAGACAAATGGCAAAATATCAACTGTGAATGTCTCATTCTAAATGGGGACTCCCACGATCATGTTATTTTTGGGAGAGCAGCTCTCTGGCTCCATGGATATCACTTGAACGGAGTAGCCATGTTCTTCTGCAGCTCTCGCTCGGTCCAGATCCACCAGGCACATGCACTGTTTTCCTGAAATACAGTCAGTGGTATCATGAGACCCCATTCAGCTAACAGTGTCCTTTCAATTTGTTTAAGGGACTCTATACAGTGACAAAAATCTTTAGGTATATGGAGAATGCTATTTGCCTCCAGGTCTTGTTTAGTCTCTTTCAATTTAATTCTTAATCAATATGAAAACAATTACAAATATATAACGTTTCAAAGATTTGTTTCTGTTAGTAATTTAAAGAATGTTAACCTCCTAAAATGTATTTATGCATAAATCTCAAATAAAAACTACAGATTCTATTTCCCACTATGGTTAAAAATCCATGTATTGACCTTTTCTTTTTCATGCCCTTTGAAAATACAATATCTGTAATAGTGTAAAAAAAGAATATCTGTTTTAAAGAATATCTAAAATGACATGCAAACCAAAGGGTATATGAAAGAATGTTGCATTTTGCACCTGGAGTTTTTAGGACAGTAAAGAAGGGAGAAATAGAAAATATTTTGAAAATTCTCAATTGTGTGCTGATTATTTCAGATGGATGAGTGATGTCGATTGTAGCACAATATTAATTTTCAGAGCTCCTCTAACCCATATGAAATACTGGTATTCTATTTTCCTTGTAATCTTTGGAAAACAAGAGGAAACCTGACTGGCAAGCAAAGCAGTAAGTTTGTGTTCTTTTGGCAAATGCAAACTTTAATTTCAAAAGTAGCTCAGGAAAAGAATATGATTTGAGGTTGAATATATTCAAAGTTACAGCTTTTATACTTTCAACTTCTTTAAATTCACTATACAAACTTCTTCTTCCTCTTTGAAAAAGGTTACTGACACCATATTAATTGGTTCTTTCAATTTTTCCTCAATAATTATAATAATACCGAAGCATTATTTCTAAATGATTTATTTAAATGACAGCAGAAACTGCTAAATTAACACAGTTTCAGAAGTGAAGACAGAAAAGTGAAATAGAAAAGATCTTCTGTAGAAGACAGAAGAATCCTTACAGAATAACAGTGGAAGGTGAAATCAGTAGGTAGGAATTGGCACTGAGAGATTTGGGTTTAAAATATTTTGTATATTTTCCTTAAAAGGGTCATGCCCAAAAAAGATGAACTGTTACAGTATAAAAAGATACAAAAAGAGATGTCTAGAATTCCATTTAGGCTACATCACCCCCTCTTCATCAACAGCTGTATGGCTAACATTTTTTTCTCTTAAAATATCGTTTCTCTTTTAAGACATCTGTAAATGCGCCCCCTCCCCCATTTACTTTTCCATTTAAAATGAAACCTTCTCTGTCAGATGGGATGCTCTACATTCCTTCAGTACCCACCCGGCATTTACACTGCAGCTCGCTTAGCCTTGGCTTTGGTCCCAGTTCAGCTAATTTTTTCTCTTCCATTACATAGAAGAATCTCATGTTTTCACATGTTGAAGCAGTATCTTTACAACTGAAATTCAGTTGTTGAAACTCTGCCTTTTGGGGTTTGGGAAGCTTTTTAAAATGTTAACAGAACAAAAGTATGACCTGTGTAAAGTATAGATGTAGATGTTTGATGGAGCCTGACTTTCCCTCCTTCCCTGCCAGTGGTCATGCCAAGTGCTTTGCATCCTCAGCTAGCAACTTCCCTTCCAGCCACTCCCTCTTTAGGCATTTAGGGTTAATGGCTAAAACATCAACCAGGTGCACCCCTATCCACCACACCGATTATGTCTTCGCTGAATCTAGGGAAGTTATATCAAGTGTACTTGTATTTTGCCATGTATAATGTGCACTTTCTGCCCAAATTTCTGAGGGAGAAATAAGGATGCTCATTATACATGGGCAGTACTAATTCCGTATCTATATAAGTGTTTTTAATTCTTTTATTTATGCTTATGCATTTGAAGTGTAACTCTAGAAAGCAGTAACGATATCCACATGCAAAATAATACCCTGGAATATGATAATTCATTTTGTTTCTAAATGTAAATAAATAAATAATTGGATTAAAAATTAAAACAAAAGGTTTTTTTCCTGAAAGTTTGGGCCAAAAATGTGGGTGTGCATTATACACAACAAAAATATGGTGATTTGATATATATGTAAAGTATACCTCTCTATATATTTGATTGTACATCAAATCAGTGTTGGGAATGGAAAAAGGACGAAGAGGGAAAGAGACTGAGAGGGAGAGAGCTGCAGGCAGAAAGGAGGATGCTTCTTCTGCGTGTTTATTCCCCAGAGTGTGAGAAAGAAAAGGAAATCACTGTTCCTTCAGCTTCAGGTCTCAAAGCCCCCTCCAACTGTGCCTTTCTTTCTATGCTGACTTTGATTTTAGAGTTTAAAGGTATCAAGTTCTCATATAACATGGTCCCTCAGTGAAAGCTAACGACTACATATGGTGCTCAGCCAAAGAGACAGCAATCTGTTTTCCAGACCAGGATGGTCTTCGATGTGGGGCTTTTCTAAATAATTTTTAAGACTAATTTTAGCTCCACTCAGTCATTTTGAGCCCTACTTTTGGAGCCTAGTTTTCCAGTCATGTGAATCCACCACTGATGGGCACTGCAAAGGTGGATAAGAGCTTCCTGTCTAGAATCAAATAATTTGGGTTCATACTGTGGCTCCACATCATCTACCAGCTGAAGAAGGCTCCTGGCCAAGCTTTCATCCCAGTTCTCCTATCTGTCCAGTACAAATAATACTATGTACCTACCCCATAAGTATTTTTATAAGAAATTACTGAGATAATGGGTAAGGGTATTCATCTCAGAACTTAAATGTTCAATAACTGTTAGCTGCTATTATCCTTCTAAATGTCATTTCTTTTTCTAGAGCAAAGTCTTGGATAAATTTATTAGTTAAACTTGAAATGAAATTGTAGGTCTTTCGATTTAGGCAATATTTAACATTACAAATGTCAAATATATTGGTCTATGATTAATAATATACAAGTATACTTTTTTCCAAGAAATAAAACATTATCATTCTTATTTAAACATTTTTAATGCACCAATTTTGGCAGGCATCATTGATATTTCCATCTCTATTATGCTCTTATGTAGCTTTTGATAGGTCCTTCACTTTGTTCATAAAATAATAATTTTACTCAATGTACAAACATTGAAAATGTATTTAATTTAAAAGTATTGTTAACAAAAATGGGATAAGGTATTGTTATTGTTACAAAGCCCTTTTCAATATTGATTAAATTTTCTGGGAAAAATTACACTTTACTTTCTTCTGGACAGATAAACCAGTCCTTTCCACACAGAGTTGCTGTGTTCACTCCCAGGCATCTTGTACGCAATCTACTGAGCAGCTGCGGTGCAAACACATACCTATAAGCCTTCGCTGGGGTGGGAGCTGGGCAGCTGTCTGATCTGCGAATCTGCACAGAATCATGTGTTCCTAAAAGAAAAAGCAATAGGATTTGAGCTTATTTTAATCTTTTGCTTCAAAATTATAAAAAATTTTAAAAACTGCTTCATTTTCTGGAGTTCTACATTGTTTAGTTGAATAAAATGCTGCACAATAGTTTTAAATAAGCACTTTTCAGAAAATGGTGCTCAGTAACTTTTTTTCCCTCCAAATAGACAGCTCTTCAGATGTAGCTCTTAGGAACAGGTGCATGGATGATCCCCAGGGCCATTTAACAGTTGATTTTAGCAGAAATAGAGTTACAATTTGTGATTATAATATGTCACACTAAAAGACTTAAAATTCATTTACATTTTTCCTTTAATAAAATTTGAATCCAAGGAGCCATGCTAAGGGTCTTTTCTTCCCCCTACCAGAGGGAAAAGAAATACTGTGGACGATCACTATTTGTGGCTTCTGCAGTCCTCTGGATACCCAGCAGAGCACTGGCTGCTCCATTGCTTTTCCTGACTCTCCCTTCACTCAGTCCCTTTAGAGGAGGCTGGCTCACAGGCTCTCCTCTCACCCCGAAAGGCTGCGTGAAGTGGATTTATTTCTGTTTTAAGAGGAACCATAAAGTACACCCGAGGGAACTGGAGGGAAATTATTGCTCTTGCTTAACAATTGTAGGAAGGATTGTAATAATAATAATAATGATAATAATAATAAGGCTTTAAAGGGATGAGAGCTGATGAGTCTGCACAGCACTCTTTAATCTGCAGGTAGCCAAAGGTGAGTGATTTGTTGCCGTCAAGATGACGGCAGTGCTCCCATGACAACTGTTCATTCAGAACAGCTGCACTTTCTAAGTGTGTAAATGATCTCACCTGTCAGCTTAGCCAACTCAGATTCATCATTTGTTTGTCTCTTGGTTTTTTGTACATTCATTTTGCAGCCGCCATTTTTAAATAAGGCAATTGAAATGATTGTGTGATGCTGGTTCTTTTTGAAGGGCTAACTCTTTCTCAATTTGAATGCATTGTGAAAAAACACTTTAGTTCTCATGATGAAATTTAGTGGCAATGTGTAGGGTACTAATAAGATGGTTTAAATAAATAACTTTTATTAAGCTTCCATAAATTGGCATCACAAAGGGGCAAAAGAATTTAGAATTATATAATATGAAGAAAGGGAAACAAAAGCATGCCCTGTTCTCAGGGTATTTTTAAATTTAAGATTCACTTTAAATGTAGGTAATATTGAGGCACTCACAACCTCAGATAAGGTTCGTTTCTCTTGTCCTGATAAGCCCCACTAATACACAAATTATTGGAATGTATTCTTCCCTGTAGAAGTTACATTTTGAAAGAGGGAGGCATGCAGTAGGTAAGGTCAGTAAAGGTCTGCTGGCCAATTGCACACACACAAAAAAACATTTCGAGATATTTGTCACCGAGTCCATGTAGTTCTGTCTGCTAGTCCACCCATCATGGCTAAGTTAGGAAACACTGAAACATCATCTTGCCACTGTGTTCAAGAAGACTTCTGTATAGAGCATGTACATCTAAGACCCTCAAAAATGCAGGGCGCCAGGCAGCTCGGATGGGTATGGGAAAAAGAGGGGATGGAGATGAACTGGGTACCAGAGGGTTTTCTGGGAGAGTCTGGGTGCCCCAGCTCTTTTGATTCTATCTTTCTTTCTTTTCTAGGCAGGGGGACTGGCACCTGACCTCATTACCCTAGATGTTTTCCATAAATTCTCTCAGAATTTGCTTTACCTAGGATCACTCAAGGCGGGATTAAAAACAAGGGTCTAGTTTTTATCTATTTTCAATTCATTTTCTACTTCATTAGCAGGGCCTTGAGAGAAAGGTGAGGTGTCTTGAACGTTATGAAAATAAAGTCCCTGGGATCCTAATGTTCCTCTCAAAACCTTATAGTTCCCTAGGATATGCAGATTTAAATCTAGCAGGCAAAGGTGAGAAAAGTTCTGGTTTGAATAAAAGCATGAACACTGAAGTTTCTTTTTTCTCCACAGATTCTGTCTATACATGGATGAGTGGAGGTGGGGGCTGGGGAGAGGGGAGGGTAGGAGACAGAGTTGGAGCTGGGCCCTTAAAATGTAGAGGTGAAGGAGATACAGGTGTCGATGTGGTAGAATGAACATTTTTAGGGCACTGTACCTCACTATTTCACTGTTGGAAAGGGAATAAAATAAAACTCCTAGAAGGCAGGGGCTGGTGTATAAAATGACACCGCATATTTTTAGTAAGTCTGTGCAAGAAGTGACATTAACTAAACTCAAAATCCAAACTAATTTATTAATTTTTAATAGGTTTATTTATGTATTTCTCTCAAACATTATCCTTTCTTAGATTTCATTATGTCATGTTATTGATCATTTAATTAATTAACAGTGATGTTCAGAGAGGTGGAAACCATTCTGCTCAGGTTGGCAACCCACAGCGGTACAACGTGCTGGGAGATGATCCTCTGTGAGTCTCTTGTGTGCCTTTGCGTCTGTGAGCAGACGCACTGCCTTTGTTCCGGATCAGAGGTTGGCAGACGAAGGCGCACAAGCCTAATCTAGCCTGTGACCCGATTTTGTAGGGCTCCAAAGCTAAGATTGTTTTTTTTTGTGTGCTTGTTTGTTTTTTACATTTTTAAAGGTTTGCAAACCTACAACAAAGAGAAGGATAATCTAGAATATGGGGGATATTTGTAAGTGGCTGGCCAATCCTGAAATATTTACTATCTTACCTTTTACTGAAAATTTTGCCTCTGTTTCAGCTTTTCCTTTCAAAGATATTTAGAGAGTAAACAGCCTTGGAAACTTTATAGTGTCTTCCTCTGGAGCAAAGGGCAGGCATGTTTACTTAAAGATTAAATCTTAAAATATTTGGGCTTCCTAAGCTCAGGTTTCTTCTCCTGTAGTACACCTCACTGTGTATGTAGGTGCCATGGGGCTCTTTTTGACTTGCCCTGCGGCACTTGGGCCTCAGGCCATCAGTGCAGACATGACAGCCTTGCTATTCCCATCACTGTGGGCAATAGCTGTGTTTGTCCCTGACGCTGGAGTCTCCGGTCTGCTGTCGGCACCCATGAATCTGCAGCAGGCTAACTAGTTGGCCTGCAAGTAGGGTAAACAGTCAGGCCCTGTACAAAATCTCGTCTACTACTCAAAGAGTAACATTGATTTCAAAAAGAAAATCCACATGATGTTCATAAGTAATTCAAATATAACGATAGATTATGTACTCCATTAGAAATCTGAGAGTAAAACATATAAAGAAGAGATTAAAAAAAGTATACTATAGGAATACATCTCTAGGTCTTTAAAGGTTACCTTGTATGATAAAGTTTTCTTAAATTGTTCACTGAAATAGGAAAGAAAAACAAATTAGTCATCATTTTAAACATTAAATTTTAAGAGTAGAAATAGTCTTGAAGGAACTAAATTATAAACAAAAAAATACATTTTATCTGAAGAGTATAGAATGCTATCCTGAACTAAAAACTGTGACAGTTTGAAACGTCTTTATAAAAAAGGCAAAAGCATACCATCAGTATGTTATTAATTAAAAAAATTTCCTTCAAAGATTGTTTACACTATTAGAGAAGTACAATCCCTTTTTTTTTTCTCTTCCCCACATGAGTGCATCCGTTTTAAAATGTGGGTTTTATTGCTATTCAGGTGTGGAGGGTCCAACATTCAGGAGAGGACTGCCATTGAAAAAACAGTTTGCTCCTCCCAGTTTTGGAGAGGAGGGGCATGTCATGCCATGTAGGACCACATGGGGGAGTACCAGGGGGTCAGGAGGCCGAGGGAATGTGCCTTTACTGCAGATCCCCTGGGAAGGAATGGCAAGGCCGGTGCCCAGGCTTAGGATTGGCTAGTGCGAGTAATGTGAGCAGTCTCTGGGGGGTGAGGGCCGTACCTAGTTGTCTGGTATCTGGCCCTTGTTCTCCAGGGACAAAGGCAGGCAAATGTCAGTAAATCTACAGAGATGTGATAACGTTGGCGGATATTACATTGAGACTGCAGGCTGAGCAACTCAAATTAGCATTCTTAAGAATCTTTCTAGTGCTAGACTGAAATTCCTTGGTGGGTTATGAAATATATATTTTATCTAAATAGATTTAGAATAAAGTGAAATTTCAACTATTGAATAAACCTCAAGTTATATTTTATTTTTTGCTTCTCCATAGTTCCTTTGGTTTTTCTATCAACTAGTTGCAAATTGTAGTAGAGAACAACGCAATGAAAGACAAAGAATACGAAGGCTATTATTTGTGCTTTTAATTTTAAATTACTTAGATGCTTTAAGTATAAATACTAATGAAAAATAAATTATAAGTTTTCTTAAAAGTTATGATGGAAATGATACGAAGTCTTTTTTGACATATAGGATAGACTTTCCAAAACTAACACATTTAATCCATTCTACAGTTAAAGTGATCAGCAGGATTCTCAGTAACTATGTCTCAGAGAATGAAATATCATGAACACCAAGAGTGTGGCCCTCCAATAAGCTGAGTTAAAGTGACGAGAATTAAAATGGCTGTTGATCTTTCAGGTTAATCATCCCCATCCATCAGCAGTATGTAAAAAAACTACTGCTACTACTGTACCTAGCAACAGCATACGTTTATTGAGTACTTAACTCTATGCTGCTTCTAAGTGCTTTACATATATATCATTCAATTCCCCCCAAAACCTTGAGGTAATTTACGATAATAAACCTCATCTTGTAGATGAGAAAATGTAGGCAAAAAAAGAGTTTAAGTGACTTACTGGAGGTGAAACAATGTGTAAAAGAATGAGGAGCCAATATTTGCACCCAGGTGAAATAGTTCCGGGTCCTAAGCATTTAACCGCTATACCTACTGCCTGTCATGGGTATTGATTTCCATTGAGAAGCACACAGAGAGGTGCTGAAGCTGTTATACCTCAGTCATCTGACTCCTAGATGGACTTGCTTCTAAATTTCAGCAGGAGCTGGATCCAGGAGAAAAACCAAGCAGACATAGAGGAGATCCTCTCTTCCTCATCTATCTTATACACAATACTTGCCATTGCAGGAAGAGGAAATGAACTCAAAACTGAAATCTCGTTGCAATTTTATATCAAGAGTTTTGTGCATTGGTTTAATCTCTGTATTGCTGCCTTAGGTGAACTAACTTTCACCTTTTTGGAAAATTGAACTTGGAGGTATTCTGAATGAAACCGTAACAGCAAGGGCAGGTGACAAAGGAAGCCCGTGTTTTGATGCAGAGCTCAATCACCATGTCTGTTGCCACTCCACAAGCATGCAACACCACCTGGAAAACAAAACCAGGCCTTAGCACTAGGGTCTTTCTTAGCAGTGCTGTTTTTGTGCCTTTTTAAAAGATACTTTATGTGAGGACTTACCCTCAAGAGGTTTCAAGTTACCAGAATATTATTCCATAGTAGTTCTCATTTGGACACACCAAAGACCTAGTTACCTATTCATATTAATTTAAAAAATTAAGCAACGTTGAAAAATTACAAATAGAATATTGTAAATGAAGCATAAGATTAATTTGGAGGAGAATCTGACAACATGTTAAATATGGAAAATATAATATGTATGCATGTCTAAACTAGTGCTCTTGCTTTTATGAATTTAGTTCAGTTGTAGCATTAATGCAAGAACACTAGATTAAAGTCAGAATTCTTTCTAGTCTAGAATTCTAGTTGGCTATGTGAGCCTGGGCACTAAAAATTTAATTTCCTTGGGCCTTCATCCCCTCAACTATAAACTATGATTCACATGACTGCTGTAAAGATTAAGTAAAAATGTAACTGAAGGCATTTTCTAAAATGCTGAGTAAATATAATGTAATTAGTGCTTTGTAAAAACTTATTAAGTCATATTTATATAGCATATTTTCGTATTCATAACAGTTTGTACCATTAAACAAGGAATTGTATAAAGTACTTTCAATGGTTAAATTTACAAAAAAATTAAAAATTGAAGTCATGACTGAGGCTTCAATAATTCATGAAAAGAAAAATAATTCTAAAAATGATTTTAGGTAACAAGTGCACTGAGAGAAAGGTGTATGGCCCAAATGAAAGAACAGATCAAAACTCCATAAAAAGAACTAAGTGACAAGGAGAGAGCCAAGCTATCAGATGCAGAGTTCAAAACACTGGTCATCAGGATGCTCACAGAAATGATTGAGTAATGGTCACAAAAAAAAAAGAAAGAAATGAAGGCTATACAAATTGAAATAAAGAAAAAATATATAGGGAAGGGAAGGAAACCAGGACTCAAATCAACAGTGAAGGGAAGGAAACCAGGACTCAAATCAACAATTTGAAACAAAAGGAAGAAATAAACATCCAACTGAAAGAGAATAAAGAAACAAGAACTCAAAAAAAAAAAAAAAAAAAAGGAAGAGAGGGTTAGGAACCTCTAGGACAACTTTAAATGTGCCAATATCTGAATTGGGCATCTGAATAGGGGTGCCAGAAGGAGAAGAGGAAGAGCAAGAAACTGAAAACTTATTTGAAAAAAGAATGAAGGAAAACTTCCTCAGCCGGGTGAAGGTACTAGACATGCATATCCAGGACACTCAGAGAGTCCCAAAGAAGTTGGATCTAAGAAGAAACACATAAAGGCACATCATAATTAAATTACCCAAGATTAAAGATAAGGAGAGAATCTTAAAAGCAGCAAGAGGACAGGAGACAGTTACTTACAAAAAGGAGTTCCCATAAGACCCTCAGCTGATTTCTCAAAGAAACCTTACAGGCAATCTTTACAGGGAAGAAGTATTCAAAGTCATAAAAAGTAAGGACCTACATCCAAGATTACTCTATCCAGCAAAGTTATCATTTACAATGGAAGGGCAGTTAAAGTGCTTACCAGAGAAGGTAAAGCTAAAGGAGTTCATCATCACCAAGCCCTTATTATGTGAGATGCTAAAGGGACTTATCTAAGAAAAAGAAGTAATTCAAAATCTATGAATAGTAAAATGACAACAAACTCAAAACTATCAACAACTGAACTTAAAAAACAAAAACAGAAAGAAAAACTAAGCAAACAAGAAGAGGAACAGAATCACAGAAATGGAGATCACATGGAGGGTTACCAGTGGGGGGACGGAGAATGGGGGAAAAGGTGCAGGGAACAAGCAGCATAATTGGTAGGCACAAAATAGGCAGGGGGAGGTTAAGAATAGTATAAAAAATGGAGAAGCCAAAGAACTTATATGTACAACCCATGGACATGAACCAAGGAGGGGGGAAGTGCTGGAGGGAGGGGGATGCAGGGTGGGGGGGGATAAAGGGGAGAAAAAAATGGGACAACTGTAATAGCATAATCAATATAATATACTTAAAAAAGTAAAAAAATTTTTTTAAGATGTTTTCAAAGTAAATTCATTAAATATATCTATACTGAATTACAAAATAACGTAGATGATTTTGAAAATTATTAGGATAAACAAAAAAATAGGACTATATGAAAGAAAATCAGATGCAGAAATCCTGAAAGATAAAGCATTTTGTAAAAAAAAAAAAAAATTGCTAACATTTCCATTTTATTCTGGACAGAAGCAAATTGTATTACATTACAATTGTCCTTTCTAAGGACAGATCTCTCAACTTGAAGGTAGGCAAGGGCATTTAGAGTGAAGAGAAGATTTTCTGGAAATTTCTGAATGTGAAATAATAAAAGCCAGATTCCCACCTTGAACTAGAAAACCAAAAAACAATGTTGTACTGGGAAGAGAAAAGCAAGATCTCTGTTCTCAATCCTTTTCCTGAATTCTCTCCTCCTCCTAAGCTTACATCAACTACAGAGAAATCAACAGTTCCTATGATTGCTGTCAACCCATTTTTTTGTTTCACTCCAAAAACTGAACTTAGGCTGTTATCCAGTGAAGGCAACAACAACTACGGTATAACTGAGAGAATACACAACATTGGTTTCTCATCTAACCTTTTTATTTGATCAGCTTTGCAGTGCAAAAATAAGGCTAGTTCTTATTTTCATGAGTAGCTAGAGAAAATTTCATAGTAAAAATTACAGATGCATTTTTCTCTGGAGGGAGAGAAAAGAGAACCAACACTTGCAGAATTCCCTTTATGTAGTGGTGCTACAGCTGAGTAATTGCATGCAAATCTTTCCATGTATCTTTCTATAGGAACAACAGCCCTGAAAGATTTTATTACCTCCATTTCCTAAGGAGAAAGCTAAGGCTCTGGGGATTAAGCAACTACCCACAACAAAGCAGCCCCTGAGAAGCAGGACCCTGACCTCAGGCATTAATTATAACAGGCTGCTTCCCCACACAACCCTCCTAAGATTCTTACAGGAAAGTTTAGACAATTTACTTTTTTTCCTTTTAATTATATTTTATTGATTACGATATTACAGTTGTCTCAATTTTTCCTCCTTTGCCCCCCTTCACCCAGCACCCACCATTCCCTCAAGCAGTCCCCACACTATTGTTCATGTCCATGGGTCATGCGTATACGTTCTTTTCTACCCCATTTCCTATACTGTACTTTACAGACCCATGGCTACTCTGTAACTACCTATTTGGACTTCTTAATAACTTCACCTCTTCACCCGTTCCCCTTATCCCCGTCCCATCTGGCGGGGATATCAACCCATGTACAACTATCAAAACAGTCTCCATATCCATAATTCTGTCTCAGTTCTTGTTTGCTTAGGTTGTTTTTTTAGATTCAATTGTTGAAAGATATGTATGTATTGACATTTTATTGTTCATAGTTTTCATCTTCTTTTTCTTAAATAAGTCTCTTTAACATTTCATATAATGGTTTGGTGATGATAAACTCCTTTAGTTTTTTCTTGTCTGGGAAGCTCTTTATCTGTCCTAAAATTCTAAACAATATCTTCTTTGGGTACAGCAATCTTGGCTGTAGGTTCCTGCTTTTCATGACTTTGAATATTTCTTGCCAATCCCTTCTAGCCTGCAGATTTTCTTTTGAGAAATCAGCTGACAGTTTATGGGAACTCTGCTGTAAGTAATTAACTTTTTTTTAGCTGCTTTTAAAATTCTCTCTTTATATTTAAGGCACTATAAAGAAAGAAAACTATACGCCAATATCTCTAATGAACATAGATGCAAAAATCCTCAACAAAATACTAGTAAACCAAATACAACAATGCATCAAAAAGATCATACACCATGATAAAGTGGGATTTATTCCAGGAATGCAAGGTTGGTACTACATCTGCAAATCAATGAATGTGATTCACCACATAAACAAAATGAAGGATGAATACTACATGTTCGTATCAATACATGCGGAAAAAGCATCTGATTAAAATCCAGCACCCATTTATGGTCAAAATTCTCAGCAAAGTGGGAACAGAAGGAACATACCTAAACATAAAAAGTGCCATATATGACAAACCCACTGCCAGCATCATACTTAATGGGCAAAAACTACAAACCTTCCCCTTATGACTGGGAATAAGACAGGGGTGTCTGCTTTTACCTCTTTTATTCAACTCAGTACTGGAAGTCCTAGTTGCAGCAAGCAGACAAGAAGAAATAAAAGGCATCCAAATTGAAAAGGGAGAAATAAAGCTGTCTTTCTTTGCAGATGACATGATACTGTACATAGAGAACCCCAAAGATTACACCAAGAAACTACTCAGACTGAAAAATGAATTCAGCCAAGTAACAGGATACAAAATTAATATCCAGAAATCAGTTGCATTTTTATATGCCAATAAGAAACTAACAGAAATGGAAACTGAGAAAACAATCCCATTCACGATTGTTTCAAAAAGAATAAAATACCTAGAAATATAATTAACCAAGAATTTAAAAAAACTGTACTTGGGAAATATAAGAGACTGAAGAAAGAAATTGAAGAAGATACAAATACGAGGAAGCACATGGATAGGAAGAATTAACATGGATAGGAAGAATTAACATAATAAAAATGTCCATATTATCCAAAGCAATCTATAGATTCAGTGTAATTCCTTTCAAGATTCAGAAACATAGAAACAAAAACATAGACCAATGGAACAGAACAGAGAGTCCAGAAATAAACCTACACCTCTATAGTCAATTAATATTTGCTAGAGGGAGAAAGCACATATAATGAGATAAAGATAGTTTATTCAATGAATGGTGTTGGGAAAACTGGACAGATACATGCAGAAAAATGAAGCTAGACCACCTTCTTCCACCACACATAAGAATAAATTAAAAATGGATCAAAGACTCAAATGTTAGGCCCATAACCATAAAAATCCTAGAAGAAAACATAGGCAGCAAAATCTCAGACAGAACTCATAGAA